GGAGCAGACATGACAGCACCCCGCCCCCCATATAAGACCACACCAATCAACATTCTAGCATGGACTGGGAAGGAGTTCATGAACCCCCACCCCTAAGTGAGGACCTATTGAGAGCTGATGGCTTCTAGAGGAAGAAAAGGTCAGTTTTTCTCAAGGCTGTGGCCACTGGTAGGTAGCATGGCTGGCCCCAGGCTTCAGTGGATGTGGCCTTACATCCATGAGTACATGGGCAGCAAAACTGGACTCGATTATCTTTTAAAAGACAAAGGCACAATGTTAGAGTTGGGGGAATGGATCTGAAAGACACGAGGATGAGTATGATCAAAATACAACGCACGAAATTCTCAAAGGATTAATAAAACTATTATATATTTTTAAAGAGTGTCCATTTTCTGTCTGGGGAAACACTGGACTTTCAGGGCAGCTTTTCCATGCCACCTCTACCCCCTAACACTCATATCCCACACCTTCAGCTCCCTGAGGCAAGTCAAAGCCTTCCACAGAAACCTAGTCCAAACGGTTAAGCACTTGTCTAATCAGTGGGCTGGGTTCCAAGACCTTGACCAGAGCCTCCCCGCTCAAGACACGTGTAGGAAGGCATGTGCCAATCTTAACTTCACCTTGCCGCAGTTCAGCTTATCAGGGCATCTGGAGAGGAGAAACCTGCTCTAAACAACAGGTGAGGAACACCTCGAATGAGTCGACAAACACGGTCCTTTCGATGTGTGAACCGTGACCTGCATTACCACGTGGCCTGGGAGGTAACAAGGGCAGCTGGCTCAGTTGCATCACACCTCCCGGGACTATTGCTCTCCCCTCTCCCGCCCACCCAGCGGGTTTACCTTCTCAAACAACACTTTCATTAGGTAGCCCCTGCACAAACTTTAGTCTTTAGGCAAGTCTCTATACACCTAGACTTGCTTCTGTCCACCTCTGTCCCTGGGCCACTCCCCACACTCCTGTCCCAATTTCTTATTTCTCTACTTTGTGGTTTTCAAACCCGGATGTACTTTGGAGTTGATGGGTGCACTTTTTATCAAAATAATCCCATCGGGGTTGAAGGGAGAAAAGAGGGCTGTGCCCCTCCAAGATTCTGGTGTAAATGGCTTGGCATGGTGTGCCCAGGGTCCAGTTTACAAACTGGAAGGTAACACTGATTAATATAGGGCAAGAGCTGAGCGTCAGAGTCCTGGCTGGCTGTACACATCCTTCAAACTCAGCTCAGGTCCCATCTGCAGCCTCCAGGGTCTCCCTCCTCCTCAAATCTCTACACCACCACCTCCTACCATATACACCCTACCTCACAATGTCCACTTCTAACACACTATTCTTCCACGTGTCTGTAATTGTAACACAGGCAGTTAAATGGGAGCTTCTGAGGGAAAGGCTAGAAGAATTACCAAACATAAGAAAGGTCAGAGAATTCTGGTTCTTGAATACTGAGGGATCACAGATTTAACCAGATTTAAGAATCTGGTTAAAATGACGGAAACTTTTCCCCAGAAATAAACAAAATTCTGCATATAATTTCAGAGAATTCCTAGTGGGATGATGAGCTGCAAATTATTTTCTTTCTAAAATGAAGATACAGAAACCAAGTAGGTAAATAACTTGCCTAAGGCCAAAAGCAATGGCAGAGACGGTCTATGTATCCCCAGATTCTTCGGATTCCATTAGCTTCCTTTTAACTACTTCAAATCCAGCAGCTAACGATGACGTACTAGACAAAAGCGAACAAGTGAAGCTGAGCTCTGGATATGGCCACGTTATCTGCTCACACTAAGTAAAAATGTACTTGCTGAAGAGATGGCTGTGTGGTTAAGAGCACTGGCTGCTCTTCCAGAGGACCTGGGTTCTAGTCACAACACCCACATGGCAGCTCACAACCATCTGCAACTCCCGTCCCAGGGGAATCCAATGTCTCTTCTGGCCTCCTTGGACACCAGGTACTCACTCACAGGAAACACAGACATACATGTAAGCAAAATACCCACACATACAAAATAAGTAAATAAATAAAATTTAAAAGAGGTCAGCTTGCCTTCAAAGAAATAAATAACAAAAATATATGTTCTGACAATTCTCAAGACATAAAATTCAATACCTTCAAGTTGAATTTTCAATCTTTTTTTTTAATATTTATGGTTCCTAAACAAAAACTATCCATACCGCAAACTCACCCGATTCTCCTTGAGAGCTGGGCTGTCGTCCCCAAGAACGAGGCGAGAAGCACAGCTCCGGAACTCTGCCAGGCCCAGGATGGGCAGGTACTCGTGGTTGAGGTTACTGTCGTTAGCAATCTTCTGTTCTACCTTCCTCACGACGGGCAAAACCCAGGGCTGAGAATCATCCGTGCGGTATGCTGAGTACGGGAAAAGAGATATACATGAATCTCAGGCATCGTCCAAGCCGGGAGTTTGGAACTGCGAACAGCGAAAATTCCACTGCTTTCTGCGAACAGAGAAAATTCCACCACCTTCTAGCCAAAGTAGAATAGAGACAGAAACAACAAAGAGCATTCACTTGCTGGGCCAAGCCTGAGTTAGTGCTGGCCACACGGGACAACCCTGCTTTTCTCCCTTGAAGATCACAAAGCTTTTAATGTGATCTCCAGAATTAGAATACTGAGATAAAATTGGGACATCACAGACACTGGCCAAGTGAGAGAGGGAGATGTCTATAAACTGCAGCCATCTCTGAATGTCCCAATACCAAGAGTGCAATCACGCTCTATAACCATGCCTCCAAGAGAGTTCCAGAAAAGTCTAGGTCAGGTAACTGCAGCCCACAGTCTACATGTGTCCCAGGATAGCTATGGACATCACCCAACAGGTTTGTAGACAATGACAATGTCATATTGCAATGTCAAAAGGTTGGACACATCTGGCTTGAAACTACTTCCCAAAATTCTGCACCTACAAACAAAAACACAGAGAGAGAAGGAGAAAATCAAAGAACATTTGCCTCGCTGTTGTCCCAAAGATGCAGAAGCATGTCACACAGGAAGCCAATGTCCTGTGCCTGGTATCCAGCAACCAGTTACACAATGACCAAGGACCCACTTAAAAACAGCTTTGTCCTCTCTGTGTATTTTGAAATCCGCTGATGTTTACCGTTTTCACTGTTCATACACACCACTGCCTCACGTTGCCTTGCATTGATCCCATTTTATCTACTTCACGGCATATAATCAGGCTACATAGTACATTTCTAGGCATTTCTTCAACATTTTTAGTGTGTTTAGCACATCCTTGGGCCACTTTGATCTTTCCTACTTCTGATTTCCCCCTACACTACTCTAAAGTTATGCTGGATTGCAGCTTCAGCAAGCAGCTGCTTTGGCCTTGAACCTCGTCAGTAATCTCTCTGAGCTGATTGCCAACGGGGTCACTTACCTCTCCAATGCGTAAGTCAGTCAACAATCCTATGCCTGAGGTGAGACCAAATTCTAATACTGATTCTGACTACATTTTATTTTGTTCATTTCTGTCCAACATCAGTCCCTGTCTTTAAAAAATAGAAACTCATATTTTGGGGTGACTTCACTGAACAATGCACATTAACTGTAAGAAGTTTAGGTTAGCCAAAAAGTAAACAATGAAGAACATAATCTCAGCATTCCAATATAGGAGCATGAATACACATCCTTCGTCTTTAGTGCCAGTATGTATACTCTTTTATAAAATATGGATCACGTCATCACAGGGTTTTTTAACATGCGGCTTTTTTATGAACATATTTTATGACTATCTTTTATCGTCAGTAACTATTCTGGTAGGTAAAAATCAGGTTCCTCCTGATGAAGTAAACTTTTTATATTTGCTCAAGGGAGTTAGTTCGGTTATTGGAATGCTATGAATCATACTCTGAGACTGATTCACCAACCAGAGGCTGTAAGAGGGAGCGGCTGACCCAGTTTGGAAGCCAGTGACGTTTCTATTACGCACTGAGACATTTCTCAGATGTGTAGAGCTCTTGGCCCAGATCACCTAGTCAGATCCCAAGGCTGTCACTGTCAAAGTCTCTGGGGGACTTGATTTTAGAGGAGATGTCACTACTGTGAAGGTCCAAACCGTCATCTTTTGAAAAGCCATTTCATGTTGGGAAATGTGGAACTTGCGTCAGTCCTGGCGAGAAGAGTTGATCAAACTGGATGGCATGTTACAGAGAGACAATTCTAGAGATGGTCTCTTGTGGGAGAGAGCCCTACCGCTCAAGGCCATTTCAAAAGAGGGCTCCAGAAGTCACAGAACGGATGCATGTCTAGACCACACAGAAAGGATACCATCTAGACTCACCAAATGTGAGCCTTTTTAGAAAAGTCAGGCCTATCAACTTCAGATCTGTGACTGGGTATTACATACAAGATACAACACAGCTATGCTGTATGTTAATATTTACAAGAATGTCATTCTAAGTTATTGTAAAACATGCAGAAGAAAGAAAAGGCCATTGTGCTGCTGTTCTTACCATTGCTATATACTCTAAAACCCTAAAAAACCAAAAACACAAAACAAAACAAAACAAAACAAAACAAAACAAAAAACCTGCAGTGCTCGAGGGGGTTGGAGAGAGACATTGTTAACTTTTGTGAGAAAAGGCAAACTGCCCAATTCAGCAGCTCCCTTCTCACCTTCTCGTCACCCAATTTCTCCCAGGTTCAGTTCTAGACCCACCCTAGGGTGTTGCTATCTTAGTGAAGCAAGATTGTAGACTACTCCCGAATGACTGGAGCACAGGAAGGCAAGCACTCCACACAGCCACCGATCCTCTCGGCTGGGGAGTTCTTACTCCTGTTCTGTGTGGTTCCTGTTGCTCCTCCTCCCGTCCCTCATCATCATTCAACAAGCCCTGCTGCCTACACCAGGCCCTGGCTAGGCAAAGCTACACCGAGTATCCTCTGTCTTCTAGGAAACACAGCAGCACACTGGGCCTAAATTCTCCACGACGGGTCAGGGAAGCTCTTACCGAGGATGACGCGGGAATGAAGAAGGGTTTAAAAGGTGGACAAGGGAAGAGGGACATTCCAGTCCAAGGGACAGCTGGGCAGGGAGGAACAGGACGGCAGAAGACATTTGAGGCTCTGCATTTTTCTGCCTTGCGGGGAGCAGGCTATGTGGAAGACCGACAGGGAGTTCCCGGTCAAGGATCTTATGTTTTAATGGAACATTCAAAAGCAGTGACATCAGCAGCTCTACATTTTAACAGAATCATCTGTGTGACACCGTGGACAACAGACTCCAGAGGACTGAGAGAAGCAGCTAAGCCAGAAGGCTCCCAAAAGGAACCAGAAGAGAAATAATGAAGAGCTGAAATAAGGCAGTGGCGATGGGGATGAAGACCAGGGAAGATACACAGACGGACTTCGGAGGAAGCATAAAACTAGAACCCAACGACCCGACACATACAGGCGGGACCAGGGAAAGGGTTGCTGGAGATCCCAATACTCATCTAGTCTAGATAATGAGTGGGTACGTGGGGGCATGGGGGGCGGGGAGAGCTGATGAAGACCCAGAACGTATGGTGAATAAGAAGAAGGGTACTAGGTGAGGAGATCCAGGATGGAAAGCTCTCATAATTATAGACACTAGTGGAAAGTGAAGCCATGGTAATAACAAGGATTTACTAAATACTCTGCACATTTCTTTATTCTCATTTAATTATTTTAACAAACCACAAAATAGATGGGTATTAGGAATCAGGAAACTGAGGCCAGAAATTATTTGCCAAAGATAAGAGTTAGGCTGGTACTATTGAGTTCAATGAAAGCTTGCTTCCTTTCTGACGTGTTTTTTTTTTTTTTAGTTTTTCGAGACAGGGTTTCTCTGTGCAGCTTTGCGCCTTTCCTATAACTCACTTGGTAGCCCAGACTAGCCTTGAACTCACAGAGATCTGCCTGGCTCTGCCTCCCGAGTGCTGGGATTAAAGGCGTGCGCCACCACCGCCCGGCTTCTTCTTGACTTTAATAGGCAATACCTAAGGAAATCCCAAAGCACTCAGCACAGAGCACTTTATCAGGAGCCTTCTTATCAGCATGCCGCTGAGCTCTGCTCTGTGAACCATGGTCTTTCTTCCTGAGTAAGCTTCTGGGGCAGTCACACAAGCTGTAAGCAGGCCCAGCAGTCTTGCTTTGCAGAAAGGAAGACCAGAGAGTTAAATGATCCAACTATCACCCTCATCTCCTCCTAAGGGTTCCACCTCCCTCACCTGTCCACACCCAAGAGCCCATGCACATACGCCCCTGAGACCCTTCTCCACCTTGTGCTCTGAGAAACACCTGATACAGCTCATGTGACCAACAAATAACATCTAAGGAGAGAAAATGCCACACTGAAAATAACTACTAAACTAACTAGACCAAAAGAAGGATACGTTCACATTTTTTTAAAAAAAGGACTGAGGCTGGAGAGATGGTTCAGTCGACCAAGTGCCTACCACACACACATGAAACCTGACCAGATCCCAGGCACCACATAAACAGCTGGGCATGGCCATGTCGCCTAAAGCTCAGGTATATAGTTACTGTATTTATTGTATATAGTCTTTCTTATATTGGTTATCTTTTTCTATTTTAGACAAAAAGGGGAAATGTGATATTTTGTTTGTGATCTAACAAATAAAGCTTGCCTAAAGATCAGAGTTCAGAGCTAGCCACGAGATAACTATAGAGGCCAGGCAGTGGTGGCACACACCTTTAATCCCAGCACTTGGGAGGAGGAAGCAGGAAGATCAGGAGTTCAAGGCCACCCTGGGTTACACAAGATTGATCCAGTCTAAAAGAAACAGAGCCAGGCAGTGGTGGCACACGCCTTTGATCCCAGCCCTTGGGATCTCACGCCTTTAATTCCAGCACTAGGGATGTGGAGACAGGAAGTGATAGAGCTGGGCAGAGAGAAGAATGTAAGGCAGGAGAAGGCAGGAGCTCAGGTCCCTTTTGGCTGGCTGCTCTGCTTCTCTGATCTTTCAGCACTTACCCCAATATCTGGCTCTGGGCTTTTATTAATAAGACCAATTAGAATTCGTGCTACAGAGGAGACAGGCAAATCCCTGAGATCACTAGCCAGCTAGTCATGCCGTCAGTGAGCATTGGTTCAGTGAGAAACACTGTCCCAAAAGAAAAGGTAGAAAGCAGAAGTGCAAGGCAGTGTTAACAGCTGGCCTCCACATGAATATATACACTCACAATACACACACACACACACACACACACACACACACACAAGAAAGGAAGAAAGAAAGAAAGAAAGAAAGAAAGAAAGAAAGAAAGAAAGAAAGAAAGAAAGAAAGAAAGAAAGAAAGAGAGAAGGAAGGAAGGAAAGAAAGAAGGAAAGAGAGAGAGAGAAAGAAAGAGAGAGAGAGAGAGAGAGAGAGAGAGAGAGAGAAAGAAAGAAAGAAAGAAAGAAAGAGAGAGAGAAAGAAAGGCTTTGCATCAGGCTGGACTTGTGTCTCTCTGTCCTTAAAGGTCTCCAGACAGCGGTCTTGAGAAACACTGAAGCCATGAACTCCATAAGCATCACATTTCACAGTGAAAAAATATGACACACTGCTCTGTTGAATGACAAGAAAACTATTGGAATCATTCCAGCAAGAAGAAAAATCTCTGGGGAAACTATCTGCAAGTGGGACCAGCTAACGAGATACAGCAGCAGCTTGTTCTAAAACTGTTCAGCATCACTAGAACCGAGAGGGGGACCTTCTACTACCTTTGACCTTGGGAGGAAGCATCATTCTCAAGGTCAGTAATTAATCAATCTCCTTTATAAAGAGTGCACTGGAATATGTGTGTAAGTAAAACAGGACATATAAATGCAGAACGAGACCGTTTATTCTACTGTTTTGATTAGACTCCTATCTGCCATCTGTCACCCACACAGAACAGGTCACAGTAATGACCATATAGGTCTACATACCGCACCTTTCATTTATATATCACACTTCACACACGGCTGTTCTTTCACCCCATGGTTAATTGATGGGGTCAATACAATCACCCCACACTGTAGAATTACCCTATTAACAGAATCACAGAGCGTGCTAGGGAATCTTGGAGTAGACTTTTGATAGATTCTGATGGTCATTCAGTCCTGATACCTCATGCTACCTCAGCTTCAAAAGCATCAAGTAACCCCCCATTAGAGCGCCCCGCTGCCAAGCACCCAGGGCTCCTGCCTCTTCTCCCTGCAGGTTACTGGTTACCCCCAGGCCAAATGAAAGTATCCCAAGCAGAGACGAGGCCGGAGACCCCAGGGCCTGAGACCTGGCTAGCATCCCAGCTCCTCCATCTAGGGGTCAAACTATACTTTCTCCTGGGCTGAATTCAGCCTCCTTCCTTGCAAACAGGAGAGCCAGAAAACAACTCCCAGAACTGCTGTGGGCAAAAGTACACTTACGTACACATCTCACTTGTCATGTTCTTAGGTTCCCGGGAAAAGTGACAAAAGGCATGCATGTCACTGCCGAGATGGGTATCTGAGCTATGATTGATTCGGGTTATCTGGACTGGATGCTAGAGCAGAGAGGTTTTAGTGTGCGTGAGTATTTCATTTCTGACCCAGTGTCAGCAACTAGTTCACTTCTCAGTTCTTAGGCTGATAATTTTTATTCAACTTCTTTTAAGAGACCCACTCAAAGAAATGCCAAAACAACAACAGAAATAGCTACAGTTATGTAACTCCTGCTTATCCACCAGGCCTCATTCAAAGCCCGTGACTGCATTTAGTTTCGGCAAAAAACACTGTCAGATGGGCCACGGCAATCGACCTCCTCAGTTCTTCTATATAAATTAGGCTGTAAAGAAACACTTGGAGGTTCTGGACTGGATTTCAACAGAGCTTATATAGTGAGCATTCTGATTTTTATTCAAGACAAGTAGCATTTCTCCTGTTCTGCTGGCTGCTAAAAACATCCTATTTCCCTCCCTTGAAGGGACAACTAATGCTGACTTTTTAATGCTTTTATTTTGAGACGTTTCAAACACATATAAAAGTTGAGAAAATATGTATGTCATTTACGCCCACTCACCATCAATAAAACAGGACTTCAGGATTTTCTCTCGCCCCTCTCTTATTCCTTGATAAAGTGTGTGTGTGTGTGGGGGGGGGGTGTTAAAAGGGTTATGTACACACATTTCCTATAAGAATCTTGATTCTGAATCCCCTTCACATCACCCTTGGCTACAGAACAATTCCGTTTCTTCTTTCTAAACCTTCTAGAGATTTCCATCCGTCACCATCTACTCACTCTTCTCTCTTGGCTGGCCTCTGCATATGGGCAAATGCAAACCAAACTCCGTGAGCTTCCAACATCAAAGTGACAGTTATAACCAAGTCGCTGGAGGCTCGAGTTAAAAGGAGAGTCAGATACTTTCCGACGTCCTTAGAAGGCTAAACTGGTTCAAGGAAAACGATCAGGAAATGACCAGATGTGTGGGCCCTGAGCTGGGCTGCATCTGCTCCATTCTGAGAATAAACCAAACCTAGATCTTCTCCCACGTGGTTTGACAGGCTTCCTAACTGGTACCTGCTGCTCACTCAGCCCAGACCACAGCTCCATTAGGCTAACAGCTCTTTCATTTCCCACTTGCCGGCTGACCACGACCCCAAAGCTATTAGAATTCTCCCTCCTTTAGAGCGTGGACTATAAAGAACGCAGGATGGCGAAACAGAAAAACGACGTTTGTGTCCCAGATTCTACACCTGTTCTGCGTGACCTTGAACACACTGCCTCTTTCCAAGGACTCCGTATCACCATCTGCAAAATGGGTAGGTTGGTGGATGCCCTCGTGATCCCAGCCTTCTCTCCCGGGTCCCCTCTCGGGGAGGCACCAAAGTAAGCCTCGGCTCCTCCCACGGTCCCCCCATGCTGTTCGCATTCCAGGGCACTGCATCCTTACCTCCCACGCCGAGGTTAACCTTGCGGGGATCTGGATCCTCCCGGAAGTCCGCAGTGAGCTTAAAGACCAGAACTGGAGGGGCCTGCGGGACCTGGGCAAAGACTGACGGAGGCGCCATCGCGACGGGATCTGCCGAGACGTCGAGCGGGAGCCCAGAGCCGCTCGGTGCAGTGCGGGGCGCGGTGACCGGAGGAGACTCTCACCTTCACCGGCGGGCGGGGACAGCCCGCGGCTTCCAATGGCCGAACCGCGTCCGGAACTTGGCAACGCGCTTAGCCAATCACAACCTTCCGGCGAAGATGGGTTAGGCGGGACAAGTCTCTACTAGCCAATTCAAGAAGAGGATCTTATCGGAGGCTCGTATGATGCAACCAGTGCGATTTACACCGGAGGAGGTGTGGGCGGGGACAAGGGTGATTGGCATAGCTTGTTCCAATCGCTGAGGCTTTTATTCCTTGGGGTGATGAGGATGTTGCGCGTGGCTCGAGTCCCCAGAGGACAGGCTCCTTGCCCTTGTGGCGCCTGGAGACCTGGGGCAGTGGCCCGCCCGTGGGAATTGCAGAGGACAGGTGTTCCTGTACCTGCTGAGCAGGTGGTTGTACCCGCCAGGCCCCCGCAGTGCTCACGTTCCGGAGCTGGCCAGGCAGGGCTGACAGCCAAGCCCCCGGCATTTGGGCGCAGAACCCGAGTGGTCCGCCTGGACACGCTGTATCCGAGCCTGGGTGACCTTGACCATCTCCACTCAGTGCTTCCCCAGAAAGAAACCTGGGAGTGCTTTCTGCCTTGAGCGCTGGCAGGGGGGACCCTGCAGAAAGTAAGGGATGAGCGCATGCTAGTTTGAGAATTTTACTCCCCGGTAACTTACAGAAAGGGGGGGCCTGGTCCTCAAGGACCTTGAAGGATCTGGCGAGGCCTCCCACGTGTACTGTCATCGATTGGCTGATACCCAAGCTACTGCTGCTTTTTGTCAGGCGGCTCCTTCCCCCGAGACTATTTCTGCCCAGATCCTTTCTCCACTGGTTGACCTTGAAGATTCCGTCTGTCAGCCCTCCATAAAACCTTTCCTCAACCCTCAGGCAGGTTAGAAATCTCTCTTTTCTATGCGTCGGACGTTTTGTTGTCGACATTACAATTTTAGAAAACGTCCTGATGAGTAGGAACCTCGCTCTGGAGCCAGGAAAGTTAGGTTTGGAGCTGGCTGCCACTTACTAACTTGGGCAGGCCTGTTCCTGCTCTGTAAAGTGGAGATAATAGTGTTTTCCTCGGGGTTGTTGTGGGGATTATGTGTGTTAATACACATAAAGTGTTTAGTTGCATACAGTAAGTGCTCTCTAAATACTAGCTTTGTTACTGCACCCCACCCACACCCCCTCGTAAATGATATGCCGCTTTGCCTGGGCTCTGGCAAGCCTCCCTCCGTTCTTACACTAAATATTCAACAGATGTTGGAAGGAGCTAGTTCCTTGGTATTTCATGAGAAAACAGTATCATGGCTTTCTTAGGAGAACATAATAAATCTTCACAAGTTTTCCATCCAAACATAAGCCTGGGAACTTTGAGCAGTACCTGCTGACCTTTTCTGTCTTTTTCTTTTTAAAAACACGGCCTTGTTTTTTAAGGTGACTGCCCACAGTGTCTCGCTGTTCCCCTCTAACAGTCACAAGCTAACACTGAAGGTCCAACAGCCCTCGTGTCCTCTTAGTGCTTCCAAAAATCACAGCCTGAGGGCTACTGTGAAGAGGTTGTTTCTGCAACCTAGCCTTCCTGGAATTTGATTTAGAAGTATGGTCTTCACGGCATTAGCCAACAATGTCATGGTCACTCCCTGCGTCATTCCCGGAGTGAAAAGCAACCCTAGGTTACCTAAACACTGTCAGTGTGGCTAAGATCAAGTAAATATTTGTGTGTGTGTGTGTGTGTGTGTGTGTGTGTGTGCATTCGTTCTGTTATGTACAAAGCAGCACGTGTGTGGGTAAATATGCACATGTGTGCACAGGTGTATGGGCCCAAGGTGAACGTCAGGAATCTTCCTCAGTTCCTCTCCACCTTATTATTTGAGACAGGGTCTCCCACTGAACCCAGAACACACAAACTCTTCTAGACTGTACGGTCAGTGAGCTCAGAGACTTGCCTGTCTCCGCTCCCCAGCACGCGAGTTACAAGCATGCTATCACATTTGACTTGTTCATGGGTGCTGGGGGTCCAAACCCAGGTCCTCCTGCACAGCAAGCACTTTGACCAACTGAGTCATCTCCACCATCACACCCGTGGCGATAGTGTGCTGGGGAGTTTCATGTTTAACTTGATACAAGCTAAAGTCATCTGAGAGGAGGCAACCTCAGTTAAGAACATGCCTCCATAAGAGCAGGCTGGAAGCAAGCCTGCAAGGTATTTTCTTAATTAGTGATTGATGATGGCGGGCCCAGTCCATTGAGAGTGAGACCATCCCTGGGCTGATGGTCCTGGGTTCTATAAGAAAGCAGGCTGAGCAAGCCATGAGGAGCAAGCCAGTAAACAGCTCATCTCCCCGCCCTCTACATCAACTCCTGCCTCCAGGTTCTTGCCCTGCTTGAGTTCCTGCCCTGAATTCCTTTGATGATGAACAGTACCGTGGAAGTGTAAGCCAAATAAACCCTCTCCTCCCCAAATTACTTTTGGTCACGACATTTCATCATAGGAATAGTAACCCTAACTATATAGGGACAAAGAAAGTGTTGTGTGCAGTTTCTCTTCCTGTCCCATTTTACACCTGAGTTTTAGGGGATTGGAAAGGTGAGGAAGGAAGCCTATGTTGTGTAGGATTCAAATGTTCATTTTTCTTTCTCAGTAATGTGAGTCTTTGGGATTGTGTTCAGAACTCTTCTGTCTTGAGCCTTGTTAAGCTACCTCCTAAATAAAATACCAAACTTGAAATAAACAAAATGCCTTCCAGGTCATTGCTAATTTTAACACTTTGACTTAGAGTTGACTCAACACTGCCTCCTGGCTGAAAAAATAATTCAAGCAAGAGGCTGATGAAGAGCAGAACCAGGCAATCAGGTAAGGCAACCAGCAGAGCAGCCAGGGAAAGGGAGGCTGAGGTCCGAAGAGGGAGGCTGGGAGTCTCAGTGCTTCCAACAAGGTTCTAAAGCTGTCCAAGGGAGTCAGTCCTTCTGGCTCGCACCCTGACCTTCTCTCTCTCTCTCTCTCTCTCTCTCTCTCTCTCTCTCTCTCTCTCTCTCTTCTCTCTCTCAAACAACTGTAAAAGAGGAATTGGGAAGCCACATGACAACAGCTGTATTCGGAATGAATTCCTTTAGAATATATTCTTTTAGAAATCAGAAGCCTCCAGGACCAGCAATACTGTCCCAGAACACAAGACTCAGGGCATCGGTGGCAACTGACCAGACCTCTAAGCTAATCCACACTTGCTTGTTTTACTCAGTCTTAACCCGGAGCAGCACCCAGGATGCTTAAACTTAGCAACAGCTCACGGGAGAGAAGTTTATCACCCTTTGCACTCAGGCACAAAATGCTTTGGGGTGGTTATATTTGGGTGTATGGATGCTGTCATGACGGGGAGGATGTCATTTACAAGTTGAGTTTTCTGCTGAACTCATATTTCTTTAAAAACCAAAGTTATTAGGAAGATACATTCCAGAGTCACTGTATGGCCAAAAAGCCTGCCTGCTAAGGGTGTGTGTCTTGGGATGGTAACCGGGTTCTCTTGCTAAAGAGAACAGTCAGTTTTAAGCTTCTCCCGGATTAACTAGCTGGTGTGCCTGGGTGAGCCTTGGTGAAAGCTTAACTCAGTGCTTATCCCCAGATTGTCTTCCTTCTTCTTGTACGACTCCTCTGCCAGCATGGCCCAAGCCCTACTATCTCATGGTTCCTACCAAACCAGGATGTGCCTCGCTGTGTCTTATCTCACAGAAGGACATGCCCAGTGAGGCCTGGAGCAGATGGGATCTATACTTAGTTCCTGAACTGGATACTCACGTGTGCAGGTTTTATTTAAGGCTCCAAAGACCTTTGTGTTCCAAAGATACCAACAGGCCTGTGCTGTGAGTGCTATCATTTACTGTTGACTGTAATTAACTCCCACAGCGCCATTTAGAAATTGTTATGCTGTATAATTTTTGTACTTAAGTATCATAGTACAATGGTTAAAAAAGTCTGACCTCTGGAAGTGGATTTCCTCTGTGTGTCTCAGTTTCCTCTCCTGCAATATGAAGCTAATAATAGTTCTGCCTTGGGGGGGGTGGCTAGGAAGATTAACTTGTTTAATGCAACTAAATGGTTTCATGTGAGAACTCTTTGAACTGTAATTCACAAGAGCGCAGGAAATGTTAACGGGTTTTGTTGAGTGTTAATAAGATTCGTCATCGTCATCACTAATATCAGACTCTTTGCTCTGAGAGGTATTTGGCTTTTTATTGAATGAGGAGCTGCACAGATGAATTATAACTAAGCGTGAACTCAGAATCAGATTCCTCTTACTGGTTGAGATGCTGAGTTACTTAATTTTGTCTGAGTTTTACCATTCCTGTTACATTGTAGCAGATAGCACACAGCAGAGCAGTAAAGTTATTATTATTGTCATAGAGATTACACTTCAGTCCCTAGGCAGCTGGAAAGTAATGATTGAGCTCTCTTTGAAGTCTTCTTGATCTGGTCTCTTGGAGGTATATACTCAGATATTTTTTAAATGGAAAAGAGGCCAAGTGTGGTTGATGCATGCCTATAATTCCAGCACTTAGAAGGCTGAGGTAGAATTTGAGGTGAACCTTAGCTACTTAATGAGTCTAAGAAGTTTTTGTAATTGCTTGCAAAATTTAAAAGAAACAAGATAATATATTCAAAATGAATTAAAATATAAATATATTAATAATAGCCTTTTATATCTTTCTCTGCAAGAGAAAAAATGTTTTAGAAACCATCCCATAATTCTCTCAACATCTGGGAAAACTTTCATTTCCACTTAAGACAGTGGTGACCAACTTACTTAATGCTACAACCCATTAATACTTTTTAATATCTTTAATATGATTGGGGGTTACCTCAACAACATAAAATTATTTTGTTGCTACTTCATAACTGTAATTTTCCTACTGTTATGAATTGTAATGTAAATATCTGATATGCAAGGATCTCTGATGTACAGTCTCAAAGGGGTCACAACCCACATGTTGAGAACCACTGACTTAAAACACCACCACCACCACCACCACCACCACCACCAAAAAAAGTCCCAAAGTATATTGCCTTAGCAAAACAAACAAAAAGAAAGAAAGAAAATCACTTCAAAATGACAGAAGAATGGGAAGGCCATAGGCCTTAAAAATCAGAATGTTCTCCTTACATTGTCCTGTTTCTACCTAGATGTGTTATAAATGTGGTGACTTAACACAATGTCTACTCCTTTGAAGATTTATTTTTATTTATTGTATTTCGTGAATGTATGCTGGGGAGGCCAGAAGAGGGCATCAGGTACCTTGGAGCCAGGCAGGCCTGGAATGGAGTCCTTGGAGCAGGTTACAGGCAGGCCTGGAATGGAGTCCTCTGGAAGGAAGATCAGGGAGTGTGACCTGACAGCTCAGCTCTCTCCAGCTCCAGTGCCTTACTTTTATGTCCAGAGTTGTGGTGTCCTTTTCCCCTCTGGTTGGACATGACCGCAAATCCTGCGCTTTGGTGCAAGGTGGATGCAAACGAAAAGACAGACAAAGAGCACATCAATGTCTTTGCGGGGAACACGGTGTCTCTTAATGCCTCTTAACTCCTAAAGCAGTATTTTAAGACATTGCTGGGATAGATGGCTTTACTCTTGCTCAAAGCCAACAGAGACACAGTTCTAACATTTCAGCATCCGGCAGTAGAGGGCAGCACTACCCTTTTTTTCTGAAAAATGTTGAGCATCAAGGGAAGGAAGGGGGGTCCCAGCAGTTGCAATTTTTGTTTTTGATTTTATTTTATCCATATATGTCTTTTCAATTTTATTTTCCTTATTGCTTGTGTGATTTTTTTATAGAAAGAATTCAGTATCTTCTATTGCTTAGTACAGGAAGACTGAGGAATTGGTGTAAAACAGAGGTTTCAGGTGTCCCGCCAGATTTCTTTCTGTCTGGCGAAGGTAAACAGTGGCTTGACCTTAGGTAACCAGATAGCGTTATTATATGAACAAAGTAAATGCTTCTGAACTTTCTAGATAGAAGTTCTTCTGAAGCAGGGTGGGGTTTTTGTTTGTTGGTTGGTTGGTTTTGTTTTTTTAATGTGTGTGAATTTTATGGTCATACCCCTGATGATGGCTTCTAAATTCTTACTGATTTCATTCTGCTGTGTCAGCGTTCATTTCTAGCACACTTGAGATGGATCAGGGTAATCACTGATGTAACACAGGTATTGTGACTTTCCGGAAAGATACTCCGCACAGTGGGGAAGGAACTTCTTTGCTGAAGCTGCAGTTGACTGAAAGCTGTGCAGAAGCAGCCACCAAATTAGTCTTGTACGCTAGAGCCTCATTCTATTACACTATGATTTGAATTTCCCTAGCCAATAACAGGGGGAAAAAATCTGTGACTTTTGTACTAAATGTAACTAAATCTCGTTGTCAAGAACACATGGAGGAGGGAATAATCCTAATTTTAGCAAATACATAACCAAAGTATTCTTAGCATATCTGGGTTCTGTCCTGACCCTGAAAAGATTTTTGGCAGCAAGTCTTCAATTCCAGCTTAAACAAACTCCCGAGGAGTTAGCGGCAGCAGACACTAAGTCTGGTCCCGGCTCTGCCTTGTGAACTGGGTGAATAATACCCTCTGAGCCTCTGTTTCCTCCACTCTTAAGTAGAGATACCTCTGGACTTATTAGAAGGGCCAACTTAGAAAAT